GAAGTCATAATGTCCGGACGTGGCAAAGGCGGAAAAGTGAAGGGAAAGGCAAAGTCTCGCTCCAGCAGGGCTGGCCTCCAGTTCCCCGTCGGCCGTATTCATAGGCTCCTTCGCAAAGGCAACTATGCCGAGCGAGTCGGAGCTGGAGCTCCTGTTTACTTGGCGGCCGTTATGGAGTATTTGGCTGCTGAAGTGTTGGAATTGGCGGGAAACGCTGCACGTGACAACAAAAAGACGAGGATCATCCCACGTCATTTGCAGCTGGCCATTCGTAACGACGAGGAACTGAACAAGTTACTCTCTGGTGTGACCATCGCTCAAGGCGGTGTGCTTCCAAACATTCAGGCAGTTCTGCTACCCAAGAAGACTGAGAAGAAGGCGTAAACAGTATCGCTCAATTAAACAAAAATGGCCCTTTTAAGGGCCGCAAAATGGTTTAACGTGGAATATGCACCTGACTCACGATTGGATCTCTGTTCCTTCATCTCTTAATACTGATTTAAATCTGTTATTGCATTATGTTTAAAAAACAAAATTTATACGTGTCCTTTCATGAATACCTTTATGCAACGTGACAATCAATACCATTTCATAAACAGTACTACTGGTTCTGCAACTTCACAATTCCTGCAAGTCAACACACTGTCCAAATATCAGTTTTAAGACATTTAAAGTGAATTTTTCTTTTAGAATTCTTTTCATTATTACGCATATTTGATTAGATTATGACTAAATTTCGCTTGATACTAGAAAGCAGTAGGATGCTCCCTTAGACGTGGTAGAGTTTTAGAATGAGCAGTTACAGTACAATAGTTTTAGTTTTAGAATTTTATCTTTATGTACTTTTAACAACTTTTTTTATAACAATATTAATAATAATATTTTTATTGTTTATTGTATATCCTTTCGAATCTTTACAGAAATTTTATATCCATTTGCTCGGCTTACTCAAGATCCTCTGCGATAGGAGTAACTCCCAATTCGACTTGCGTTATCATTATCGATGAAGGCACTGGTGTTTTTGCCAAATTATTTCTCGTAACGAAAACGTCACTTTTAACCAAACTGTCAGGGCCGTCCAGATCCTTGTCACTAACAGACTCCCGTCGTGTTGAAGTATCACTTGAACTATCAGCATCGTGCGTCTTTTGTTCTTCCTTGTTGCTGATGTAATTATCCAGCGTGTTCTTCCGGCTGATTGTTGGCTTTTTCATTTTGCTGGTCGGAACCCTTTTTTGGTCTACCTCTAAGCTTTCTTACCGACAGTCGTAACTTTCTTTTCGTCCATGGAGATTCCTCTTTGGCGTTGCGATCGCCTAGGTCCGCCCTAACTCGCGGTTCAACCGTCTCTACACGTGAACTCGGCACCTTACGATCACGAAGCTGAATCGTTGCTAACGCGGCCATTGCATATTTTTCATAGCTTGTTGAAGTCAGCAGCCTCACTTGTTGCGACACGGACTCTCATGAAGATGATCGATAAGAGAAAAATTGACGGCGATGGAAAAAATCTCGTTTCATTCGCTTAACGCTTTTGCATTTCTAACATAGACACACTTCTCCATTTCATTTTTTGTTTTAATATGCCGTGGCCGCAGCGTGGTCTGATTAAAAAAAGAATATAATAACACTCGCACGTATGGCAGGCTGTTTCAGTTTTTAATAGTTTAATACTATTTAGCCGAATAGAAAAGCAGTAAAAAATGAGATGAGACAAATAGTATATCTGCTTAGAAATTTTTAGTTTCATACATTTTTGAGTAGCCTGATTCAATTTAGCCAGTTTTTTAAATTCATGCCTACGGAAAGATAATTTTATTTAGAATATTTCGAACTATAAGTATATTCTACCTCGACAATATTTTCTGATAATTCGATGTATTAAAAATGTTGTCTTTACATAGCCTCGAATGATAAAAATTAAATGACAAAAAATCCCTAACCAGATACATTATTTGTTTCATCTCAGTATAGAAAATAATTGGTTCATTTTTATATGCTCATCATTTTATGCCCGAGATTTATAATTGCAATTTTGTTTTTGGTATTTTTTCGTAATGCCTTCTTTATCCGTCTGAATATTATTTATGCTATTAAAAAGGGAAACAGCGTACCATAGCTGTTTGTCTCGGGAAGAAGAAACTTCGCTGATTCATGTACCAATTTATTAGATATATACGATGTAATATAATACAATATTTGTAGATTAATATTATCATGTATTTCATGAAACTTCAGTTAATTAGGTAAACCAATAAGCATAGTTGATAACTAAAAAAAAAGAGATATACGACGTGAGTTTCGAACCCGAGACTCTCGGACGTTAATCCAGCACCAAGCACATGTGCTATCGATTCATTGTGCTGTACAATTTGGAAAATGTATATTTCTGTTGTTACCCACGTTCGAGGGTTTGTTTAAAGCTTTATTTGCTTACTCTATTATTTACAAAGCTTCATATGGATACTAAGGGAATTACCATCGGCAGAATTTACTACCTCATTACTACGATTTATGTAATATGCAGTAAGAAAGGGTAGATACAAGTCTCCCTATTTGAGTGTTCACCCGGTTTAAAATCGTGAATCTCGAGGAACATACGAATTCATTCGACCAATCAAAAACGTGCAACTAGTTCGAGAGTGTCGTTCAGGTGGCGCGTCGACGCGTCAAAACCACGGTCTTACAGGTCTTGCAACGAGACCAATTTTTAGTGGTGGGGGTAACACAGAAATTGAAGCAGTTTTGTAATGTATAGCATCTTGCCTGCGTGTCGCTACTATCGAATGCGCTCTATCTCGCGCCATTAGAGAGAGGGAGAGAAATATTTTTTTCTATCTCTGTCGCACGAGGAGCACTCGATCACAGCGCCGTTTACGGCGGCGCGACTTCAGAAAGTGAGTCACCCCCCACCACTGGAGTTTCCAGACCTGTATGTAAGACCGTGGTCACGAATATCATAATTAAAACCCTTGGTGGTCCTTAGTTTCGCCAAAAAAAATCTAAAATAAACGAACAAGGAATCGGACATATTGGGGCATAAACTTACGGTCGATAACGCAGATATTTCGGGACCGATTTTCCTTTAGGAGGTCTTAATCTTAATCAGAAAGGTGCGCTAATGATAAATAGTCCAATTTCAACGTTTGGTGGTCATTAATTAACGCACTTCGTATGAAAAATCATGCGGGTACAGTAAGACAGGCACCAAAGGCTGGGACTGACCCAGAAATGGATACAGGGGGATTCATACGTTTTTGTTGATAAAACTTATAGTTATTAACCGATTTTGCTCTAACTGGTCTTAATCGATGCCGAAAGGTGCGCTAATGATTGGTAGTCCTTTTGCGGCGTTTGGTGGTCATTAATTAACGCACTCCGTATTAAAAATCGTGCGGGTACAGTACGACTGGCATGAAAGTCTGGGATTGGCCGAGAAATGGACACAGGGGGATTGACATTTTTTTGCTGATAAAACTTACAATTATTAACGGATTTGGCTTTAAATGGTCTCAATAATACATATCTGGTGTAGACATCTGAAGCATTGACTGGATACTTTTTGAAGTTCTCAAATTACATGTTTTCGACACCTGATACATTGCGCTAATGAATGACCAACAAACGTTGCAAATGGACTACCAATCATTAGCGCGCCTTCCTGCATCGATTAAGACCAGTTAGAGCAAAATCGGTTAATAATTATAACTTTTATCAGCAAAAACGTGTCAATCCCCCTGTGTAAATTTCTCGGCCAATCCCAGCTTTTAATGCCAGTCGTACTGTACCCGCACGATTTTTCATACAGAGTGCGTTAATTAATGACCACCAAACGTTCAAATTGAACTATTTATCATTAGTGCACCTTTCTGATTAAGATTAAGATCTCCTAAAGGAAAATCGGTCCCGAAATATCTGCATTATCGACCGTAAGTTTATGCCTCAATATGTCCGATTCCCTGTTCGTTTATTTTAGGTTTTTTGGCGAAACTAAGGACCACCAAATGTTTAAATTATGATATTCGTGACCACCAAACAATTTCCAATCGATTGAGCCCCTTGAAAACTGAATTCGTTGAAAAAATAAATTGTTCGGCTAACTTCGAGGGTAAATTTTGATTAATTAATTGCAAAAGAACGGTTGACTACCAAGTGTTCTAAATGAGTCACTAATGGCCACCAATCGACCACCAATCGATCTGCTATTATCAAAAGTAAATAAATTAAAATTGTCCGGCTAACTTTTATTCGTATTCATAGTCCGTCCTTATCTCAAGGATGAAGGACGCCTTGATGAAGGCTTCCTTCAATCTCCAAGGTGTCCTTGTTTCATAGTCACACCTCAGCTCTCCCTTCCAGAAGGACGGTATATTTTAGGGACATGTAATTGCCTATAGTGGCAGGACTGGCTGCCACCTCAGTCCCTCTTTGTCTATTCGAGCGACATTTTTTCAAAGAGTTTGAAATAGGGATCGCGTAGTCTATACTATAAGCCAAGCCAAGATACATCTTAAATTTTCTTTCCAGGTGTCGACTTTACGCAGCGAAGGTAAAATTAAGAAAAAACGACAATGCGTATTTCTTTTACATTTCTACCCTCTTTGAGATCATCTTCAGAAATGTTTTATTACTACGTAAACATGTATGAACTGTTGAACAATCATTTGTTAGATTCTGTAAAAAATAGTAGGCCAAACCTAAAGCCATAGTTAATAAGAAATGTTTTATTACTAGGTAAACATGTATGAACTGTTGGACAATCATTGGTTAGATTGTGTAAAAAATAGTAGGCCAAACCAACAAGAGTTTGTGTGTTACATGTAAAGGCAGGATTAGCCAAAAGTTAAAAAGAGCCATAGCTGATCTATTAACTATGGCTTTAGGTTTGGCCTACTATTTTTTACACAATCTAACCAATGATTGTCCAACAGTTCATACATGTTTACCTAGTAATAAAACATTTCTCAAGATGACCCCAATGAGGGTCGAAACGTAAAAGAAATACGCACTATTTTTTTCATAATTTTACCTGGACTGCGTAAGGTCAACACCTGGAAAGAAAATTTATGATTAAAACCAGCCGACAATTACAATAACTGATAAGATACATATTTGCTGCCTGAGCTGGGCTAGCTGCTAACTCGGGCCGCTTGTGGCGCTAGACATATCAAACGAAATAGCCAATCACAGTGCAGAAGGTATCGTCAAGGAAGCTCGAGACCTCCCTTGAAATAAGAAGGCCAATAAGGCTCCATGTTGAACATGGAGCCCTGTGAAGGAAGGTCTATGAACGCGAAACGAGGAACAAGGGATCCTTATTCCTCAAGGAACGACTATCAATACGGCTATCTATCTAGGTCTCATCTCTGGGGTAAACTGCAGTATACGACTCCGAACTGAAGTTGGCTGCTAGTGACTTAGATTTTTAACGTAGCGCCATCTATCAAATGTAATGCGAAACGCATGGAATAGTGGCGCCACCTGGTCGGAAAAAAGCACAACTATCTTTAAAAATTTGAAATGAATATACTTTTACTGTTATCATATACATTATTTTGTTATAAAACTATACTTTCATAAAATATGATCTAATAATCGCAATATTTCATGTTTGGAGAGTTTTTTCGTTTAATTTTCGTGCTGCACAACACGGATTTGCACCTATTATGTATACATGTATTTTGTTATGAAAATATTATTACATGTTTTTATGATAAATATGTATATATTTAAATTATGCCTCATATTATTATAAAAATATGTATAGGTGCAAGCTCGTGATTGTACATTCAGCATTAAATTTCACCTACTGCTTTGAAATTTTTTGCTACAATATATCGTCTGCTTGCGTAGAACATGTAGAAGCATATATTTTCGTTAGTAGCTCGCAAAGCGTGTGGCAAAAGTGTGCTATTAGTTTTTTTGCTTACATTGGATTTTATGTGATCGATTGCAATGGTGATACGGTTCGTAGATTTGTTCAACCTAGGTGAGAAACCTCCTATTGAGGTAATCACCGGCGTGACTATTCCATGCGATTCACATTATATCCGACAGATGGCGTTACCATAAAAAAAACCTAAGTCACTAGCAGCCAACCTCAGTTCGAAGTCGTATACTGCAGTTTTACCCGTCTCTGTTACGGATTCCCCTATTTCTACTCAATCTCCCACTACCTAATTCTTTTTTGCTAAACTGTGTCTCTAAAATATATGATCTTTAATTGTTCCGAGTGTCGTGCTCAATATCACACGGCAGTTCAATATAGACGAACAGACTATCTGAAACACATCATAATATCATTGTCTTTACGTATGTATTGCTCTTTATTAGATTGATGAATGCTAATTTTTTACGCGAGTGCGAAAAATTTAAAGATTGTGTGTGATTAACCCCTTGACTGGCAAGGACGTCTATAGACGTCCAAAAAATACCTGCCACTTCTGACGAGGATGTCTATAGACGTCCTCTCAATATCTCATCAATATCTGTGAAACGACTTAACCAATTGTCTTGAAATTTATAACTCAGGGGTTTTTTGGGTCGCTGAATTAAAATTTGAGGTCAAATTTTCAGCATTCAAAATGGCTGATCCAATATGGCGATCACAAACATAAAATTTCTTTAAATTCCGCAATGTTCAGTATTCTAACAGATTAGAGGGGATATGTTTTGATTATCAACAACTGTAAAAATTAAAGTATATTATTCGAAGATTTTTCAAAATTTAAGTTATACTCCCGACATTAGCTGGTGATTGTAAATCACGTCCCCGGAATGTGCCACTAGGAGGCTGCAACGGTAGGATTTGACCAGAGTCCCTCTAGTCAGAGTCCGGCCAACTTAGTGATTGGCTCCGCCATTTTGAGGGCTCTTTCCGGAATAGAATGGTGTGTGTGTGAATACGTATGGGAGAGATTCGCATTTTGTAGTGTGGGTAGTGTTAAGCCCTGTACGGCGGGTTGCCTGTACTTGGCGCGACACTCGACCGAATCTCGCGCAATGTCATGGCGGCGCCAAACGATCCCTAAACATGGCGTCCCTTCCGGGTGTTGGCCGGACTCTGACTAAAGGGACTCTAGATTTGACATTCCATTTTTTTGTTTTTTTTAAATATTTTATACTTTTTTGTTTTTTTTTAAATATTTTATACTTTTTTTTTGTTTTTTTTTTTGTATTTTATATTTTTTTTGTGTTTTTATTGTTATTTTGTATTTTTTATTTTTATTTTCAAAGAATAATATTATTACGGTTTGTGTCACTTATTATCCGATGTATGGTAATCTTTGAAACATTCGATGTATAATGGGGTATTGTTACATTTTACGCATACCACGTCTGTCTCTCTTCTTATGTGGTTTTTTGTACCAAACTTACAACGCTAATTAAGTTGTTCGATGTGAATTTATACTTTTTAAAAAGATTACAAAATAAACTTAATTCTAAATGATTATTAATAAGAATTATGCTGCTCGATTCAGCTGTCAATTCTCACTGACTTCCTGTCGATCGTTCCGTATAAAGACACCTCGGTTTCCGGTGTCCGGTTGTTCGATGTGAATTTAAATGGGGTATTGTTACATTTTACGCATACCACGTCTGTCTCTCTTCTTATGTGGTTTTTTGTACCAAACTTACAACGCTAATTAAGTTGTTCGATGTGAATTTATACTTTTTAAAAAGATTACAAAATAAACTTAATTCTAAATGATTATTAATAAGAATTATGCTGCTCGATTCAGCTGTCAATTCTCACTGACTTCCTGTCGATCGTTCCGTATAAAGACACCTCGGTTTCCGGTGTCCGGTGTCTATATGTTATCGATAAGGCTTCTATAGTCATCATAACTCGCTTCCCTTTTTTCGACCTGTTTGGGATACAATATCCATTCTGCTAGGAAAATGAGCATCAGCTTGGTTACTCTTATTACTTCAATTTCCCTCTGTTTTTCTTTGTTTTTTGCAATGCTCGTTTAAATAAAGTTAACACTTATAAAAGTGTTGTTGTTACACTCTGTAAAAGTGATCGGCCATTTTGAATTTTTAAATTTTGACCTCAAATTTGAATTCAGTGACCCCAAAAACCTAAGAGTATTAAACATTGCGGAATTTAAAGAAATTTAATTTTTTGACCGCTGTATTTGATCGGCCATTTTGAATTTTGGGATTCTGATTTCAAATTCGAATTCAGCGACCCCAAAAACATTTGTATATACAGTTTCATAAAGATTGATTCATATTTTGCCTCTGCCAGAAATGGCACGCAAAGTGAGTTTCGCCGTGCCACTCAAGGGGTTAAGATAATGATAGATATTTACAAATATTTCTAGTATTATTTTAAGAAATTGAAGGATTTAAATCATGTGGCAAAATACAAAAGAACAACTATCCTATAATTTGCTTATAGGGCATTCCATGTCAGATATGAAACCAAATTTTTAATTTTCCTGAAAATTGGTTTCCTTGTTCTTGAGTGGAAGAAAATGACACGTATTTTTTTATTTCAATATGATATGAAGAATTTTCGAAATATCGATTTTTGAATTTATAGACTCAAAAAAAACCGGTTCTTCTTTAAATGTATCGTGGATCGTCCACTTTCGGACTAAAAGCAAAGCATTGCAGGGCAAAATGAGCAATAGGATTCACTTTAAAGTCCACGTTTTAATGGTACAAAATTCGGTCGTTTAATAATTGTTATGCAACAATTTCTTAAACAGTTTGTATTATTTCAAAAAGGGCATCTTCAAATTGAATGATTTTTTCTATGATTTGTTATTATAGTACAGAGAATATTGTCTGAAAATTTGAAAGTGGACCGTTGAATATTTTTTTAAATAAAATTCATAATATGTGACCGCGCTCACAATTCGCGCGCGGACAGCGCGGGCGAAGCACGGATTCGAGCGTGTTTCACCTAGTTCAGATGAATGATACTCAGGGAAATGTTAAAAAGTTTCAGAGTAACACTGTCAAATCGAGAGTCTCATATTTGCAACAGATAATAATGGAATTAAAATACGATCAAATGCAAAAAAGTTTAGTACACGCGTTCAATTTAGTGACAGTTAATTAAATTTATTTTCGAATCGTGACATCAGTTTCACTTTGCGAGGACTTATTTATATTTAAATTCTTGAAGAGATAGCCTATCAAAATGGAATTGACGTCGCGATCAGACTTTTAAATATTTATTTGTATATTAATAATTACAGTGTACTGAAAGATAATAAGTGAACCTGACTTGAAGTAATACTTTCATTCAAAATTATTTATAGATGTACATTGATAGTCTTCTTATACATGTGAAATTGCAAAGCGACGAAGGAAATAAGAAAAACTAAAGAAAGAAATGAATAAAAAATAAAAGACATGCTTTTTCATTATTTAGTATTATTTTTATTACTTATAATATAATATAAATTTTTTACAGTGTCTTTGGTATATTAAAACGGCCAAAATTTATATACGGAAATGGACCAACTTCACCGTTTGAGTTGTCCATTCACTTGGAAAATGAAGAATGTGGTTTCGACTCCAGAAAGTCTTTTGTTGGATGTCAGCCAATCTGAGTTTAAATGGAATACTGAAACTGATGAGGAACTAGGAAGCTTTATTCTAATGAAGTTAATGTACTCGGTGATGCTAGCTTTCGAAAATGGAGAAAAAGGTGGTTTAGAAGAAGCGATGCAAAAGATTAAAGAATCGGAAGAGATTTTTATTAAATTGCAAAGGTAAACTGAAATAACATATTAATAATAAAACGTACAAAGCCAGTCTTCATTAAACTATTTATTTCAGTATGCCAAATGGTATATCTATAAAGGCAGTAGATCATATTATTAAAAGTACAAAATGCTTTATTCTGAAAGAAATGAAAAGATTTTCTGACGTAACAAATATATTAAAGTCTATTGATTCTTGTGATAAAGAAAAACTTGAAATCGGTACTTTGTATGGGTGTCAAAGCATCGCATGGTCATTCTATTTTGCTGCTGAACGCGATAAGGCTATTCAAAATGCATCAAAAGCTATTGAATTAAATTCCCGCAATGGACTATGGCATTTCAGCCTTGGAAAATTTTTAAAGCGTAAGAGAAGATACTATGAAATTGGTACTAAAATAAGAATACAAGAACAAACAGCGTTTAAAAATGCATTTGATTTATTACCCACCAACCCATATGTTGGAATCTATTGCGCTCAAATGTACCGTGAGTCGTACGATTTGAAGAATGCAGAAAGAGCATATACCAAAGTATTCGCCATGAAACCTGACATTTGTTTTATTTATCTCAAATTGGCATTTGGATTTATTCGTACCAAAAACTGTGAAAAGGCCTCCGAATGCTTGAAATATGTAGCTTCAAGGACTCCAAAAGATGAGATATATCTTCACTACAAAGGAATATATCTTAAAAACTGTGAGAAGGATTATGAGGTATGATTAAATCTATTATATATTTAATTCCTATTATTATACTTCCTCATAGAGGAAGCTCTGTGACGGTGGAAATTTTTTTTCGAGATCCTCGTGTCTCCATGATCAGAATGTGCCAAACGTTTGTCAAAACACATTTGGAGAAAATGTTCGGATGTGTGCGTGCGCGCGCGCGCGTGTGTGTAATGGCCTCCCAAAAGTCAAACGTGTATTACTCGAGAACGTTTTTAGCTACAGCCCCCCCAATTTTGCAGGCATGTGCAGCTCTATAATCCCTTCATTGGCTATAATTTTCGTAATGATTCAAACTGCGGCTCGGATTTTATGTCGTATTCAAGTTGCCAAAAAAAGGACGTTATCACTCTAGCAATCGCAAATTTTCTGATACTCGTCTAAATAGTTTTCGAGTAAGAGATTTGTATTCAAGTTTGGTTAGTATGGCATTTGGAATTTTTCGAAAAATCAAGTTAATCAATATAACTCCCGTCAACTTTGACCGATTAAAATCCAGCTTTCCAAAAGTATAGAATATCATTCAGCCGTGATATGTATCAAATTTGACGGAGATCAGCAAGACGAATCTGATTCGACATATATTCAAGTTTTTGAACTTTGAAGTGTCTATACTATAAGGAAGCCAAAGATTTAAATTTTGCAATTTGCTTCCTCTGAATCGTCGGTAGTAAATGAAGATTCATCTATGAGGAAGCCAAAGGTTAAAAAAAAATGAAAATGCTTCTCATATAGGAACTTCGTACACTACCTACAATTCGGAGGAAACAAATTGCAAGTTTCTTGCGACTTGTCTTTTTTACTTCTATCATTTATCCTTAGGGAGCGTTAAAATATTTCAAAGAAGCGGGTGCTTTGATGAACTTTGCAGCAGATATGGACTACATAGCTCTAAAACTATTTCACAGCGGCAACACAAATGATATTCTTGAGTATTTATTTGAAATGTTGGATCGTTACAAATCTATTGCGTACAAAATACAGGCAATACATTTAAACATAGGATCGATTTATTATATACAGAAAATTATGAAGGATGCATGTCAACATTATCTGAAGGCAATCAAAATTGATCCACAAAATACAATACTGGAAGTAAATATTTCCTATAATTTATAAATATACATTATAGTGATCATCGAAATTTATTTGCAACTTTAAAAAGATTCTTTTATTAATTATATTAGTAGAGGGCAACGGTGCCTTCTGATATTTCTCAATATGATGTTATTCCATTTTTCAGAACTTTTTCAACGTCGTGCTCATCGGATCAAAAATAAATATCTTTGACGTACTAAAAAGGGAAGTAATACCTTTATGAAAAAAACAAGCCGTTGATCAATCAACGCGTGAGATGTTGAGGGAAGCAGAAGAAGCCTGTAACGAATACAATGCTCGTTTCAGTAAGACAGCAGCACAGAAGATGACAAAGGATTCACTGTGAATAATCTTCATGGAACCCATTGTTATTATTGAATGTCAACGGGCGTTTTAATGTTATCTATACTTTGACATCCTTATTTAATGAAAGTTTATATACTCATTTATTTAGACGTGCTGGCAGGAAATCAATAGATTATACAGTTATTGTTGTTTTAATGAGTATTTGAAAGACGGAGTGCTGATAACTTATCGATATTCTATCACTAACATTTCTGCTTATCGACTCACGTTTCACTTACAGTTCGTTGCAGGGGTGGAGTTTCGTTTTTGCTAATAGTGAATGCGTTAAAGTAGACATTGATAAATGAAATTTTTTTTTCATAGTTAACGTATATTGTAAGTCATATAAAAAATTAAAGAGTACACCAAAAAATATTGTCACGTATTCAAAATAATGTTAATACTAAACAGTAAAACGTATTTTTTGCGAATCTGTCTTTCCTTTATGAATCAAACAGTACGCGAAAAAAACTCTAGATAAAAAGACATCTATTTAAAATAATTTTCAATTGAGCATGATTTAAAACTATTACATAATCTGTTATAATTAGCCTTCGACATTTAATACTATAAAAATAATTATTTTTATTGCTTGAAAAAAAATAAATATACATTACACTTTTCAGTGCCTATTATTTTCTTTTTGTTGTATATAGACATGTATTACATGCGTGCTTCTGTACGACATATTGAAACCCTTTTACCAATCAAAGTTATTTTTTTTTATTACATCAGAGTGACATGGTCCTCGATCTTAGGTGCAGGATAGGAGATCTCCAATTTGAGTAAAATCATCTCAAATCCTTATTCCACCGACTGTCTTATTGAATGAACCGCATTTAAACACATAATAGATGGCAGCTTAGCATATATTTCGTAATTTTTCCTAAAATTATTGAATTTACATTAAACGCATTGATTGATTTTTGTAATTGGCTAGAGAATTTACAACCCCCTAAGCCACGGTTAAGTTCTAGAACTAATTTACCCGCAGTTACTACTTAAACGTACAGTTGTTTCTAGTACCTGACCCTAATAAGAGATATAGAATCAAAAGGAAAATGAAGATAACGAAGTAGTAGCTTGCGGACGGTGTTACAGGTCACATCGGTGCTACAATTAAAAGGTGAAACTTCAAAAGATAAATTGAAATTTGTGCCGAAAGTGACGATTTCTTTTAAATTCTTTTACTTTCGTATATTAATTTCTATTTATTTACAATGAAACATATTTATGGTGTGCAGAATTGACTTGCGAGAAAAATGGAAAAGGAGCTAGAGAAATTGAATTGCCCGTTTACATGGAATTTGGAGAAGTTCGCTCACAGTAAAGACAACAAGCTCATATTTTGAAAGTCGTGCAGTATTCTTCGATAAATGTGATGAAGAACAGAGTGATGTTCTTTTATTAAATTTAATGTATAAGACGACTAAAGCTTATAAATGTATGTACATGGGAGCAGATTTCGATCCAAGCAAAGAAGAGTCGTATCTTATGTACTATGACGTAAATAATTTATACGGTGCAGCTATGAGTCAATCTGTACCAGTAGCCTCATTCGAATGGGAATAAAATTTTCAGCAATTGGATATTCGCGATATTCCCGATGACTCTCTTACGGGTTACATATTTGAAATTGATTTGCAGTATCCGATCGAGCTTCAAGAACTTCATAAAGATTTGTCACTCTGTCCACAGCAATACGCTCCTCCAGGCTCTAACGATTCGAAATTTATAACTTCGCTCCTCCCGAAAGATAGATACATCATTCAATATAAGAATTTGAAACAGTGTTTGAGATTAGGTATAAAGTTAACAAAAATTCATCGTGTTCTAAAATTGAAACAGGCACCGTGGCTCAAAAAGTATATAGATTACAACACCGAAATGAGAAAAAATCGAATAATGATTTTGAAAAAAACTTTTATGAACTTATGAATAATTCGGTTTTCGGTAAAACAATGGAAAATGTTAGAAAACGTATGGAGCAATGGCTCTGATTGCAAAACCAAATTTTCATAACTGTACCGTATTTGATGAAGATATGATCATAGGTGAATTAAATCGAACAACAATTAAATTCAATCAACCGATATACGCAGGATTTTCCATCCTAGACATTTTTAAAACGTACAAATACGATTTTCACTACAACTATATAAAAAATATTATTGGTGATGAAGCAAAATTGATGTATACCGACACCGATAGTCTCATATACTACTTTACCGTTCCGAGCATATATGAGTATATTAAACGTGACTTAGATAACTTTGACACCTCAGACTATCCTTACGATTGGCCGCAATTGGATGGTTCGCAAAACACTGCTCGTATACTGTCTGGCAGTAATTCGCCGTGTCGCTTGACCTCCTTCTTCTCCTTTACTCGCACGATTTTGTCAAAGTTCGTTACAGGTAACCTGACGGACTGCTTCTCGAACCTCATCTCGATTTTGACTAATGTGGGAACTATAAATAATGAGTTTATAGGGATCGCTGGTCAGTCGGAACTGTTTCACCGCAGGGGCATGATCGTGCATCCTAAGCGTAAACGCATTGGGAGGAAGAAATCTCATCGTTGTAGAGGATTAGTCAACAGGATCATCAAAAGTCTACCCGTTGGGTTACATATACCTGGTTATCAGTACTGTGGGCTCGGTACGAAACAAGCAAAGAGACTCGCGCGAGGTGATCCTGGCATCAACCCCCTGGACGCAGCCTGCAAAGAGCACGACATCGCCTACTCGAAGAATCGAGAGAGTCTCGAACACGGTGGGGCAGCGGACAGGGTACTGGCCGACAAAGCTTGGAAGCGCGTTTTCGCTAAAGACGCGAGTCTCGCCGAGAAGGCGGCGGCCTGGTACCTAGCGAACGTAATGGGTGCCAAGTCGAAACTCGGTATGGGACTCAAGAAGAAACCAAAGACTGTAACGTTGAGGAAAATCATCGAGGAAGCCAAACGATTGATGATTCCTAACAGCGATGCACGGGTAGCTATCAGATCTGCTCTCAAAGGTGCACAAGCTGCCGTCAAACGAGCAGGTGGAAAGCGCAACGTCCGCACTCCGCGGGTTCTTCCCGTGCCGTTCAAAGTCGGAGGCTTCCTGCCTCTTCTCGTTCCTGTATTTGCGGGTCTCAGTGCCGGTGGAGCGTTGGCCGGTGGTGCTGCAGGTATAGCCAAAGCCGTAAACGATGCGAATACAACCAAGGATCAGCTGAGGAGAATCAGAGGCACAACGAGACGATGGAAGCCATCGCATTAGGCAGAGGATTGTACTTGAAACCGTATAGAAAAGTACTAGGCCTTCATCTGAAGCCAAAAAAATTGAAGTGAAACTACCACGCCGAGCGTTGACCGATGCGGATCTGCTAAAGTACGCGAAGATCATGAAGATTCCACATTTTCGCGGAGTCTTCATGCGGAACGCTATACCGAAGGGTGGAACGTACAAGTACGAGTCGGCAATCGTCAATCTCGACGACAAAGATGGCACAAGAGGAAAGTAAGGCGTTCGTTCTGTTGCGTTCTTTTCGTCTGCCGCGTACCATGGAGGAAGAAACGCTGAACATTCAGACACCGATCGTCTTCGATGAATCTATAGCACACTGTGAAACGCATGCGCATCAACCTTACGCCTCGTCGACGTTCAACAACAGCGACGAGGTTCGAATCTCCGTTCAACATCAAGACCTATGCTTACTACAGAGCAAAAGATCGCTGCACGTTTATGGAAAGCTGGTCAAGGAAGATGGGTCCAGAGCGACTGCAAACACGACTCTGATCACAATGCCATTTGCCATCTCTTCGAGGAGATTCGCTATGAAATTAATGCTATAGGGATCGACCGGAACAAGAACGTCGGTCTCACGAGTCTCATGAAGGGATATGCTGCCCTGAGTCCCGGTCAACGATCCTTGATTGAGAACGTCGGTTGGCTCGACGTCAGAGAACGGGAGAAATTGACCAATCCAGACGGTTACTTCGACGTATCCATACCGCTGAGTCTGATACTGGGTTTCCCCGAAGATTATCGCAAGATCGTCATTAACGCTAAACACGAGTTGATTCTGAGGAGAGCAAAGAGCGATGTCAATGCAATAATGCAAACTGCTCCGGAAGGATGCAAAGTCGTAATTCACAAATTGGAATGGCTGATACCATACGTAAAGGTGTCGGATCGACGAAAGATACAACTGCTAAAATTCATCCAGAAGGATGCACCCCTGCTCCGGAAGGATGCAAAGTCGTAATTCACAAATTGGAATGGCTGATACCATACGTAAAGGTGTCGGATCGACGAAAGATACAACTGCTGAAATTCATCGAGAGGGATGCACCCATCTCCCTGAGCTTCCGTACCTGGGAGCTGTACGAGTACCCTCTACTCCCCACCACTTCGAAACACGTGTGGGCCGTCAAGACGTCGTCTCAGTTGGAAAAACCACGATACGTGATACTGGGTTTTCAGACGAGCAGAAAGAACAAGAAAAATAAGAAGGCTAGTCAAATTGACCACAGCAACATCAGAGACGTTAAGCTCTTTTTGAATTCGCAATGTTATCCCTACGGAAATCTGAATCTTGACATTGATCATAATCATTTTGCTCTGCTGCACGAGATGTATGCAAACATTCAAGCTACGTACTATGGCAAGGATCCTGAGCATTTGCTGAAGAAGAATGAATTTCTCGAGTGCGCTCCATTGATCGTTATCGATTGCTCCAAACAAAACGAGTCCTTCAAAGTTGGACCTGTCGATATTCGTCTGGAATTCGAGGCGCAAGACAATTTCCCTGCGGATACATCGGCATTCTGCCTGATCCTGCACGATCGTATAGTCGAAAACAACCCGATCAGTGGTGGGGTGAAAAAATTGGTATAAAGAGACTGCCATCGTCTCTCCCTGCGCAGTTCATCAAAATGGAATTCATCGTGGACGTACAAGGTTTCAAGAAACCCTCGAACGAGTTTCTTTCTATGTAAAAGGATTGGAGAAGAAAATTTCTGGAATCAATGTCAAGGTCGATGTATCTTCCAAACTCCTACTCTACTCCTACTCCTATTCTACTCCTACGAGTAATTTGACACCTCTGAGGATGAGGGACTGCATTCTCGACGTACGACTCTGCGAGATAACGTTCAAGGTCAAAACGGCTGAAGGCTACCGTCTGAAATTTAAAAGTATCGGGAGGGAGGAAGGGGGTCCATCGAAGCTTCTGGAATGCTCTAGAAGCTTCTAGAATGTTCTAGAAGTTTCTCGATCGTATATGATTCCTAGAATCGAACGCAAAATTCCCAAAATATGACGCAAAATTCCCGGAATCGAGCAAAAATTCTTAAAATCGAGGGGTCCCGGTGACGTCACTTCCGGAAATCATAGAGCACGGACACCCACCTTCGAAAGTTTTAGAGTGTCGGTATATGTCGGTTACAGGAATCTTGGTCCAGAAACGCCCAACTTATACTACTACTTAGGTTTGTAAGAAGTTTTAACCCACCACTAAAATACATATGGCCAGTCGCAATTTTTACACTGTAGAACAGTATTTTATGTTCGTGTTGCAAAACAACAAAGAAATTGCTAGATTTCACACAAATTTTACAGTAGATTTATAGAAATTTTAATCAACTGCGGTGGTAAATGGTCGGTCACCTTCGAAAGTTTTTGAGTGTAGAGTCACGCACGTGTTATCAGAGCCTGAGTGTTGCCCTGCCAGAAATGTTAACGTGTTTTCACCTTTACTTAGCGTTTCCTGTCCGTTTTGTGCCATTCGTGCAGTCTTTATTTTCTCCCAACAATCACAGGAATTTCTTTCCTGAAGAGAGCAAATTAAAACACCACATCCTAATGAATTTCATCTATGATTTTTACTATGTTGTGTAGGTAGAAATTACCACGATAACGCTAAAGACTATTTATATAATCGTTACCTCTGATTGTTAGTAGGCCCATGGGTAATTTTTACTATGCAATTAAGGGTAATACTACAAAATTCTCTTCGTGCAGAAGCACACGACGAAAAATTGAACAACACAAAGGGCAAAAAATGCGTTCGGTGAACACTGTTCGCAGAAGTAAGAATATAGCGCTTTCTAGCGGACGACGTGAAAAACTGTGACACCACCAGAAATAAACATGACATGCAGTGCCTATCGATACGTTTCCCACGATGGGTGAACTCCAACTGCGCACGGAGTAACAGTGAACCGAGAAATTGCGTACCAATAAATGTAATATTCAAATAACTATGATTCAAATAACGTTAGATACTTCATGCAATGAACTATGCACGATGAACTGTGCACAATTTATTGTTAATGGCCTGAAACTGTGCAATGGTTCAATAACTGTGCACACAACAGTGGAAATTCGGAACGTCGGAAAATTACCGCTAGAAGATAAAAATGTATGTTTCTAATGTCTATGACATGTGTAAGCACCAGAAAAGTGTCAGTGATAAAACACAAAGGTATAATATAATTATACTAATTATAAGAAAACTTGAATACAGTAATACCCCGACTTATGCTACCCTGTTTTACGCAAATCCGGAGTTACGGGATTCGTCGTTTGGAACGCCGCGCAAGTCGATTCCCCCACTTCCCCCGCACAGTGTTCGGCTTACGGCAACTTCGGGCGTGAAAAGTGAACACGAAATTTCAATCATGTCTTTTGGGTCTTCTTTAAAGGTATTTCAGAATTTTTATCTACCATTTAAGTAAAACAAAAACGAAAATCTTAAATAACAGGATTTTCACAGTTTCTTTCACAACCCGGAGTTGAGCGCACATTCTACAAGGGTAAAAATCATTATGGCACCCGTTTCACAATAAGTAACCACAAATTGGAAGAGTAATCGGAGCCGGAATATTTCACATGTTTCAATTTATATCCCATTTTTAAGTAACTAAATTACTTGTGAAATATAACATTTCGTAATAATCATGTAATTGATGAAATTCTTTATATTTTGTTATTTATATGAATTCTTAGACGCTTAACAGGCTTTTTTGAATACGATTCCGCAAAAAAATTTTAAAGAACAAAAAAGTGCCAAGGACACGCGGTGTTCCCAAGCGGTCACCCATCCAAGTACTGACCGCGCCCAATGTTGCTTAACTTCAGTGATCGGACGAGAATTATTATTATTATTATTTACTTATTAACATTTCATAAATATATATATATACACACATTTCCAACATATAAATATAGTTTAAATACTGCTTTGAGCGTAGTTCCTTCTTAAATTAAAACTAACCTACGATTATTATAAGATAGCATTAATTATATATTAATTTGTGCAGGTGTGTTTCTTGCCCCAGGTTTGGTTAATTTTGGCTCTGATATGGTTGAATATAGGAAAAACAAATTGAAAAAACCTATTTATGAAAATTGCTATGTTACAAGACATTGTTTCTTGTTCTAGTTGTACGTTATACTCTGAGTTTGGCGATTTATTTATTTAATAATGTGAAATATTTTAAGCGATTGATATGGCAGTTTATGGTTAAGAATAAAAGGTAAATTATAAGATCTAATATTCGTAATGTGCTTAGTTAATACACTTACATCTAGTTGATTTCCATAAAAGTCATTAGCTAGTTCATCTATATAGTCTTTGATACATGGGATTTTTACAGTCTCATGTAGTTCATTAATTTTAGTATATCTATCGGCTGATAGAATCAGTCTTAGGCACTTATTTTGGTAGACTTGAAGTGGTTTCATATTGGTTGGAGCCGTGCCACACCATACTGGAGCCGCACATATCATTATGGGTCTTAACAGCATCTTGTAGATAAGAGTTTTGTTCTGTTTAGACAGTGGAGATCCTTTGATCATGAGTGGATAAAGTTTTCTCTGTATTGAGTAGACTTTTTTTAGGACTTGTTTAATATGCTGCTTGTATGTAAGTTTTTGATCTAGATGGACGCCTACGTACTTGAGAATGTTAACTGGTCGGACAGGATGTTCATATACCTTGATCGGTTGGAAAATTTTGAGTCCTTTAGTTTTTTTGGAGAAAACTATTACTTTGATTTTTGGACGAGAACTGGTATATTCAACGTGGTATGGACCTTGCCGATAGCGCAAGTTTTAATATTCAAAAACTTTGTTACACTGTTTAGAATTTTTACATTTAGGGTGGTACTTAACATAATGAGAATTAAAGAAATATCTATATTTGTTAGTTTAAAACTTATAACGTATTTCTAGTCGCCATATCTGTGAAGGACAGATAAAGCTGTTACGCAATAGCATTTCGTAATAATCATGTAATTGATGAAATTCTTTATATTTTGTTATTTATATGAATTCTTAGACGCTTAACAGGCTTTTTTGAATACGATTCCGCAAAAAAATTTTAAAGAACAAAAAAGTGCCAAGGACACGCGGTGTTCCCAAGCGGTCACCCATCCAAGTACTGACCGCGCCCAATGTTGCTTAACTTCAGTGATCGGACGAGAACTGGTGTATTCAACGTGGTATGGACCTTGGCGATAATTTTTGCTTATGTTTTTACATACCAACGACTTTATCTATACTAGATAATTATCTGTGTTGATACACAAAACATTGTGTAGATATTCAACTCAGTTATATCTTACGTTCATAATCACAATGTAATTGATGCCATCATTGATTAATATTTCTATATTAGTGTTAAATTATCTTTAAAGTATGCTCAGACTACGTTAATTTCATATTCAAGGGACCATCTTAACTTACGAGTTGCAACAAAATGATCCTTTAAATGCAATTGATTGTTACTACTAAGAAATTGAACAGGTTTAAAATTCGAACAAAAACAAATTGAACTTGTTGCCTTTCTTCACTCACTTTAGTATAGCGTCAATCGCGTTCAAGGAATCCATAATACATATTATTGATTATGGGTGAATCCTGAAGGACTAGGCATGTCGCTCTGAGATCGATTAATCGAAAAATCGATTCTTTGGGGAAAGAAAATCGATTTTTCAGATCGATCTGAAACACTGGATCGAGCCAATGAATCGATCCCAAAACCCTAAGAATCGGACCGATTCACGTTACAGGCGAATCATTATGTAGTAAAAAGATATTTATTGACGGTATATTCCGTAACTGAACCACGGTTGCAGTTATTAAATTACAGCTAATTGCATCGATTGATTTCTACGGATGACAAAAATCAATCGATGTCATTGGCTGAAATTTAATAACTGCAACCATGGTTTAATTACGGAATATGACTTAAGATATGTGAATGCCATTTTGGAACGCATTCTTATGTTATTCAGGTGGCGTTATTAATCAATCTAACGGCAATGGTGACGGAGATCAAAGATTTTCTGTTTTTTTTTTCGTATTTTTGTGCTTTGAAGTAAAAAAAGAAACTGGAAATAACGTTTCTTATTTTTCCATTACAATTATGCTAATATTATGTACAGTGAACAGCGTTTTAAAAAATCAACTACAGAATCAATTAATGTAAAATTGATCTTTTAGTGCTCGATTTAATTAAGATTCGATTCCGTTACATTCGATTCAGGAATCCATTTTTTTCAGGAAGAATCGACCTCGCTACTTGCAAGTTGCAACAAAATGATCCTTTAAATATAATTGATTGTCTCCAGTAAGAAATTAAACAGGTTTAAAATTCGAACAAAAATCAAATTGAACATATTGCGATTTTTTACACAGCCTAGTATAGGTCAACTGCGTTCAATGAATCTACATATTATTCATTATGGGTGAACCCTGTCTGAAACTAATGCCGTTCATTACTGTCTCCACCACAAAACAATTTGTCGTTTTAAACCTCTTAACGTTAAGTGCAAACTTAATTCATTGAAATACAAGATAAACGGAAAAACACGTAAGTTCAACTCCTACCAAAGCCATCAGGAAAATATAGAAAGTAATTCAGTATTTTACATTTATTAATATAATACATGAGATTAAAAACAAGGATGAACATCAACAACTATCAGAATCCAAGACCAAACCTTGACTAAAACATGAAAGTCTTCAAAAATAATTAAATAGATATTACGTGCCTAATTACATGAAGGAAAACTATAATATCGAAATCTTAATCCGTGGAAAAGGTGAGGAATTAAAACTAATTATAGATGTTAGCTGTCTAATTACATGAACGAAAACCATAATATCAAAATCTTAATTCGTGAAAGAGGTGAGGAATTAAAACTAATCAGTACATACTATGGTAAAACGGTTTGCTCCATTTACGTATTGAAAAAGTTTGTGGCCCTGAAAAGGGCCCTTTTGTTGTGTACGGTGAGTAGCTGAGAACTCGAGAAACAAATTAACCACCAAAACCGTAGAGAGTGCGTCCTTGACGCTTCAGCGCATAGACCACGTCCATGGCAGTGACGGTTTTCCTCTTGGCATGCTCGGTGTATGTAACTGCATCACGGATTACATTTTCCAGAAAGACTTTAAGAACACCACGGGTCTCTTCGTAAATCAGGCCAGAGATACGTTTAACACCGCCTCGGCGAGCCAAACGGCGAATGGCAGGCTTCGTGATTCCCTGGATGTTGTCACGAAGAACTTTCCTGTGACGCTTCGCTCCTCCCTTTCCCAAACCTTTTCCTCCCTTACCACGGCCAGTCATTTTCACCAACGAAATGTAATAGAAACTCACTTAAAGAAATATTCCGTAGAACTGATGCAGTAGCTAGGATTCGAGGGGTATTTATCCTCGCTCCTATTCGTATCCCCACCACTTACCGACTGGCCAATGAGCGTCGAGCTCAACAATCGGACGAGTCTATAACAGGGTGAACAAAGTTGGTGCTCCCATAATGCGTTTGGATCTTATGGTGCGAAGTTCTCTCTACGCTCCCAGTAAAGAAAATATTCGGTGAACATGGCTCGTACGAAACAGACTGCTCGCAAGTCAACTGGAGGAAA